TCAAGAGTATAGGGATAACTATAGAAGGCCGATGCGCACAAATACCCATAGGCGTCAATTAACCTACTAGCCTTATACTTAGCTAGTCTAACAATCCTCCCATTAGGCAGCTCGTGCTTCAACACTTTCTTGTCCCAATCGAACTGTGGCTTGGCAACCTCGAGGCAGTACATACCTAACATGTCAAATGGTAGGTCGTCACTAACCAGGAACAAAATCCTATGATCAAGTTCCCCTCCTGTATAAGAGAAAGTGCATACCACATCCTTGACGTAGTCCTCCACCAACATGCGCTCTTTGTTGGCCAAAGTAGATGCTACCGGTCTACTCAGGCACTGCACCCGGTCCTGTAGGCGCAGTCTCTCAACGCAGTCACGACTTATAAAGTTCCACATGGAGCCGATGTCTATGAAGGTGCCGCAATTGCGATCACCCACACCAACTTCCACAACGAAGTGCTCCCCTTGTAGAACCTCGACTTAGTGCCACCTAGGACTCATGAGGGTCCTTTGCCGACCACTCACTTTGTAGGTCCCCTAAGGCCTCAGACACATCCAACGAGCAGGGTATCGTTGGGTCCGGATGTGTCTGCGGGGTGACTAAGGAGTGAATAGCTTTGGCCAACTCTTGAAACGGGGAGGGTACATCACCCGCTTCAACGAAAGTAGAAGCAACTACAACTTCTACTGACCCTAGGTGTTTCTCGAGCTAGAGCTCGTAGAGGCCCCGCCTTGGGAGAAGGGAATCCCACCCTTAGGTGGTATCTTCTGCGGGACCTTCGCGTTCTTGCATTTGAACTGTTGATGGTCATGCTCGCCACAGTTAATGCAAGCACCCCACGAATAACGGTCCCGCCACACCTCTTGATCTAAACCCGCTCGAACCCTAGCCGCTATTTTGTTCGGGTTGGAGGTTTGCCCCTGACTCCTCTGTTGACCGCCCTTGCCGCTGCCACCTGCCTTTCCTTTTACTATTGCAGCGAGGCTGCTACCCTCAACACTATCCTCGCTGTCTAACCTGCCTTTCCTTTTACTATTGCAGCGAGGCTNGAGGCTGCTACCCTCAACACTATCCTCGCTGTCTAACCTGCCTTTCCTTTTACTATTGCAGCGAGGCTGCTACCCTCAACACTATCCTCGCTGTCCAACTCTGTACCATCCACAAAATCTGAGAAGTCTTCGATCTCGGTTCAAGTCCCATCGACGTCAACCATCATCAATCGACTCCCCTTCTTCTTCCGCTCTTGTGGACTCTTCTTCTTTCTTCCGTCCGTAGAGAGGGACTGAGCACCTCCTAGTGTGGCCTCCAAATCTAAGGCCTTCTTGCTGAAGGTCTCAAAAATGTGAGACTCTAGCCGAGCCTCGCTGGCTAGTAAGTTCTTGATGTTTGTGGGAAGACATCTCGAGAACATGGTCAGTAAGACCTGTGGATCATAGCATACCCCTAGGACGACGATCAAACGCTCTACAGTAGAGGTGAGTTCGTGCACAGGCTTGTACTTCTTAGCATCAAGCCGGAGCAACCGATCAGTGGCAATCTGTGCCTGCTGTGGGTTGTGCCATCGCGCTTCCACCAAATCCATAAAGCTCTCTAGGGTATGGGTCTTGGCCCGATCACCCATGTTCCTGCCGAATCCCTTTGAGGCCACTAATCCATTTACCCAGCGAGATGCCGAACCCTCTAGATAGGATGCAACAGTAATCACCTCCTCCTCTACCAATGTCCTCTTTGCCCTTACATACAATGGACCGTTCTCTATAGCGAGCAGCTGTATCACGCCTAGTCTAGCTTTGGTCGTTAGCTGTACCTACGCGTATCACGCCTATTCTGCCTTCGATCGCCAGCTGTACCTTCACTACCTTCTGATCCACTCATCGGGTAAGCAGACACTGTCTGCACTAGTATCCTCTGGAAACTACCGCAGCATGCGTCTGACCGATTCTAAGAATAAATAAAATTAAAATAATATCCGGTGAGTTACTTAGACTACCGTTCAAGCCGTATCAACAACATTTACACAGGTTGTACACATAGTCTAGATCTACTTTGATTAGTTCACTTACAAAAGCATTGAGAACAACTGATTATGGTAGAACATTACAATTCTAATTTAGGCTGTTTGTGAGGTGTTAGCAGTCTGTCAACCAACTAATCAAAAAAAAAAAAAAACTAAGTGAGAAAATGTATGCATAATGGGTATAGTTGTGTCTGACAGTTGAGTCTCGATTCGAATCTTCCTCCCCTGTATCCAACGTGCCTGTAGCCATCATCAAGCGACAGTGTCTAAGGTGTGCATTAGCGACCCACCCCTGTGCCCAAGGCGTATACTTATGACCAGAACTGCGCGTTGTTTATCCTCACGTGCAACGAGACTTACGTCTGACTGATCTGGCTGATCAAGAGGCAGTTTAAGGACAGGCCCCACGGTCCTCAGGAATTATTTAACGTCGCAATCAAGACGACGATCAGTGGACAATTTAGACCCCTGCCAGAAATATTTATAGACGGTCTGGATAGCGTCTGCAAAGGACTGGTCAATTTGCACACCCCTTCAATCAGCGCAGCAAAAAGCCTTCAGAGGAGAAAGCAGCATGACCTGAGTGTACTACTCCCATGGGTTGGCATGGTGACCGTGACCCGTGCTTCGACCAGGGCCCTTCAGAGGCACCGCCCTCTCCTGCCAGATGCGCCACCGAGAAGAATGTCGTCTCTCAAGGTAGAGCGCTCACGACTTCTTACACAAAAGAGACACTCACGGTTGGACTCGCTTCCTCACGGTAAGAAGAGTTGGGAGGGTAGATAAGGTAAGGGAACCACGTACCTGGAGATAGCTGCCCCCAACCACAAATTTCTCACCAATTGAGCCGACTTGTATTTCGATGACCGGTCATAGCCTCGGTACCACCCACAACGCAATGCAGTGCCACGTCAGCCAAAATGCCACATCAGCATGCTCTCATCATCATACATACATCCGCTGTCACTGCCGCTCCCACGCTGTCGCCACAGCCTTCCAGCGGCCGACCCCTCTACCTGGGTCCCACTATATCAAGCCAGCGCCAAAGTATCCTTACTGCACAGAAGCATCGTCAGCACACCAAGAAACAATGTCACCAGTGCCAGGTAAGTGGCGATCTCGAACCAGCTTTGATACCAAATTGCAAGGAATATGAGTGGCAACGATATACCGAAAGCCAACTTGCGAAATCACACAGATGTCCAAGTAGTCGTGTACAAGCAGAGAGCATAAATGCAAGCCCTCAGGCCACACCAACACAGTATCCAAAGTCGCTCCTCTCTGTCTGGCGCCCAGCGCCCAGCCTACACTACTCGACTATCCTACCTACATCAGCATTCTCGCAACAGGCTCACTTTGACTCTTGAAGACCAATATACATGACGTCAACACCATAGCCGACCTCTCTCATGTACCAGGTACGTATCTCATCTCCCCTCATCAGACCCTGTCCACCCACACTTGCCTCCTTCCTGAAGACCACGGATTGCCCTCTTACCCCCCAGCCCTGCAGCCCGGCTATGGCTGCTAGCGCTCCGCTGCCCAGCAGCGCCCCTCTTCTCCTCACACACACCCGCACGCGCTCTGGCCTCAGCGCAGCACGCAGCCTCTAACGCAGCTGTGCAGCAGCGTGACCGCATTGCCTGCGTGGGCCAGCATACCAGCCCCTGGCTGCCCCCCTTCCTATATGGAAGTGGCAGCCCCTGCTTGGCTGCGTGTGGCCCGGTTGGGAAGCTTCCAGTAGCTTCCGGTCGGGCCCCAGTACCTGCACCCAGACCCAGTGCTACAGTTGAGGGCCTGAGCCCCTTACAGTTGGGCACGGCCTCAGTCTCCAGACTTGGGCCGTTTGCTGCATTTGCACAAGACCCGGGGTATGTACGTCGACAGTGCTGCTTTTGCGTAGGCCTGTGGCCACTTCGTGATGTATTGGCCCTGCATTGTGTGTATGTGCCCAGGCGCAACTGCCACGACCTGGGCCAAACTGTACGACGCAGCTTACGGAGGCTTACGCGTCCACTCAACTAACTGGCGGGCTGCAACAGCCGGAGTACCCACATATGAAAAATTTCAAATTTTGGCCTCTAGTGAATACTCAGGCCCGCCTTCACTTAGGGTGGGCACTTGGCTTGCTGGGGGCCTCTGCCCAGAACATGTGCATGTCTGGTAAGGGCCTCGCGAGGGCTCATTCCTCGCAGGTGTCGCATTTGTGGCATAATTTGTTTTTGACAGGTAAGAGTCACTAAAAATGTTTTATTTTTTTTAGACAAATATTTCTTCGCTTATTCAGCAGCAAGTTATCCATTGTCATGGAGTTTTTTTTTTTTTTTTTTTTTTTCCCTTTCCCCCAAGGATATTGTCATGGACGTTTCTGAATCGCAATGTTGAAGGAGATGAGAGTGCAAAATTGCCAGTTGGTACACCCACAAACTGTCAGAATACTGACCTGTGTTCTACATCCAGATGGAACTAGATGAATGAAATGGAATGAATTACCCAAAGCTGGTCAGTTGGAAAATGATATCTCAAGGCCGTCACGCTTTGGGGAGAAAAAAAAGAGAGAAATTGCCAATGCGGACGAGGAAAATCAGAGAAGGTGACAAACAAGCAGTGGCACAACGACAACGACAATGCTGGAGGAGGAGAAGTGCAAAAACCGGCAGAAACACTAAGGGCCTGGCCACACCACTCTGGAAATTTGCAAAATGAGAATGAACTTCCCGCTAGAACATGGCCAGATGCACCAGCCACATTTGGTATCACAAGGAGTTAATGTCAAAATTTCTCAAAAACAAAGAAAAAAAACAAAAAAGAACTTATCTAATGCCAAGTTGTCAACCCTATATTACAATTTAATATTATATCTAAAAAATAAAATTCCGAATGTTTTATGATGAACTTTTATCTGTATACGATGCAGACAATCCAAAAAAAAAAAAAAGACAGGAAGAAAGAAAGGATGCAGACAACCCATCTTAAAATACAAGTAAAATAGCACTGTTGATTAATCGAATTTAATAGTTTAAGGAGTAATAAAGATAGATTTTGCTTACTCCCAGAACCAGTGCCACTTTCTATCTCCTGGGGCTCATACCACCCAGGAGGCAGAAGGAGGGCCCTGAAACGATGATTGAAGGGGGGGGGGAGGGGGGGKGGAAATAAAAAATCCAAGTGGCTACCAACATTCAGATCTCCTTCGTCATTAAAATGCGCCTTTTCATACCGAAGATATTGGACTGCCAAAGACCGTAGCGAGCCAATACTTGGTACCCAACTTTCTCGTAAAGTCGTCTAGCCGGCAAGTTGTCGTCGTATACATTAAGATATAGGCGACGGTATCCCCACCCCCTGGCCGTCTTCTCTGCAGCCATGAGTAGGAGCATGCCGATCTTTTTCTGTCTGTACCTCTCCAACACTGCCATTCCACTTACGTACAAAAACTCCTCGACTCCTCCGTCAAGGTGGCGGAGTACATCATAGTCCTTGGAAACGGTTAGGTTCACTGCACCAATGATCTCGACCTCCTTATCTTCGCCGGCTGGTCGACTGTACGGACCTCCGTTAATGTCTGCAGATATCCGCTGCGAGGTCGCTTCCTCTTCCTCTTCGATAGAGCCTCCTTCCCTCGTCCTCATGTCATCTTCTAGCACGTCCGTCTCCGTGCGAACTGCCACTAACACCATCCTACAATATATAAAAAATCAATAATGTAAGTATTCGAGTAGACCAAGATCTCGCCGGAAAGAAAAAGAAGTTCAACATCAATTTTATCTACAATATAATAGTAGTATACCCTGTTAAACAACTTAAACTTTACTAAATGTGTATACAATGTCCAGATTACTATCAATCAACATACTGTTCTGTTCCCTTTGGGGACCCGAACCCCATTACCATTATTGGCATTACCATCACTATTAGTCCGGCAAGTGAGGTCTTGTACCGCAGGCATCCAGGTTCGGCTCCGAACTTCTCCATCAGAAAATTTAATCCAGCAGGAGGCCATGCGCAAATTCGTTGAAACTTTTGAATGTAAAAAGAGCAGCCAGGGAAAAGGGGGAAAAAAAGGGCAGTCAGGTGCTGGGTGTGTAGTGCACATGAAATCTGTTGAATCTTCCGTTCGCAAGCTAATGTTCCCCTTCCCCCCACGCCCACCCTTGCATCCTGCTACTGAAGTTGCAGCTCAGGTTCAGTTTTACTTTTTTCCTTTGATGGGGGAGGGGGGGAGAGAAGGAAGGAGGGGGGGGGGCTGCTACTGAAGTTGCAGCTCAGGTTCAGTTTTGCTTTTTTCCTTTGATGGGGGAGGGGGGGAGAGGAGGGAGGGGGAGGGGGGTCTAATACCTGTCCTGCCACAGAAACAGGCTTGGATTTGGACACAACTGTCCCCGAAGTAAACACTGAACCTGTAGGTTCAGCTAATGATGACACTTAGTTGACGGTCAGAAGAAGGGGGGTTCAAATCCAAGCAGAAGGGGTTCAAATCCAAGCAGAAGAGGTTGAAATCCAAGCTACCAACTAAGTACCATCATAAGTGGACTGACGGCCTCACTCCAGTACACAACACTCTACTTACATTTGGAATCCGACTGGGGACCCGTCCATCAACTTTGTACCATCATAAGTTGACTGAGGGCCTTGCTCCACTAATACACATGTGGAGAATTTCAGATGCTTTCTGGACCCGATACAAATGTTTGACTCGTCTGATGCAGCTGGTCCAGAGAAGCGTCCAAATTCATGTAAAATGTTCTACAGTGGAGCGAGTCCATAAAACTTGGGGAATCAGAGAAGTCGTACCTGATGAAGAGCGGAATTCCTGTGACGGCAGGCGTCTCTGGTAAGGAACGGAGGTCGAATCAGCACAGAACAAGTAGGGTCCTTGTCATTGGCCAATGCAACAGCCTACCGTCTTCGTCCGAATAGAACGCCCGGTCATTATAGCTGTATTTGGTGCAACTGCCAGTCTAGATACAGTGATAATGACCGGGCGTTCTATTCGGGTGAAAACGATAGGGTCAGAAAAGTCCTTCAGTGAGTAGGTCTGGGGTCAAGAAGGGTCAAATAAAGGCACCCACCCATGATGACGTCTACAACTGCGGCCGAGTCCATTTTCTGAAGTCCGACCCCACCTCCATCCTTAAAAGAAACCAGGTCATTGTAGTGATTGTGATATACACAATGACAGCTGCAGCCGAGTGTAACCGTGTTAGTAGCTGTGCAAAGGAGAAGACCGCAAAATGTTGAAACATTGTCCTGCTGCGGCACAGGGGCAGAGAAACGATCTTCGACATAAAAGAGTGTGTGGAAGGTTTGCTGCAGCGAGAAAACAGCATTGTTATGTATGAAATTAGTGACATCAGTCATGGCATGGACCATGGTGCCATTATCCCCATAGCTCCCAGTGTGTTAGAGGCATGTACAATGACTATGTGTTGGCCAGGTCCTTGTACAATGGCATGGACCATGGTGCCATTGTCCCACAAGTCCCAGTGTGTTAGAGGCGTGTACAATGGCTATGTATTTGCCAGGTCCGTGTACAATGCAGGCAGAGATGTGGGCGGAGGATGAAACCACTCACCTGCCTGAGTATTGCGTACTAGGTCAAGTTGGCAGTCCCTCATTGCTACTTGTAGAACCACAATTGTAAAGCCTCCTTCCCTGGCATAATTACCATCCTCTACCTGTAGGCAGAGAAGATCAGCATCAAGCTGAAGGGCAACCTTTTAAGTTTCCGGGGGAAATTGCAAGAAAGAACGACACTGTATGCAGCGGGCAGCGGAGAATGTGGAGTTTGCAGACCACCCAGATGGTGTTGCGAGCTGGTCAGTCATTTGCAGATCACCCATGTGGCTACGTGTTGTGGGGAAAAAAGTTGTGCTGCAGCCAGTTGATGTTGATCAGCCATTCGTAGATCAGCCATGTGGTTTACACCTTGTGGGCCAATTTGCAAGTTGGGCAAATCATGTTCTAATCCCTGGACGTTTGGGGCTGGATCCTGAGTTGGGACTGCCCCTTGAATTGGGAGTGTACCCTATGCGGGGACCGTGTCCTATTTTGCAGGTGATTAGCGAATATCCAATGCTGTAGGGCATAAAACACGGTTTAGCGTCCTTCGGGACATCTGTTAAAAATGGAATGATACAGGAAAGAGTAGCATGGCCCCCATGCAAGGATGACACGCACACTGAGAAATGGTCCAAATGATTTATGAAAAAAAAACGGTCCTGCGGCTGCCCAAAGGAAGTTGACTGGCTGCAGGCGACAATGGAGCACGTATTGTCATTTGGAACAAAGGAGCAGACATAAAGAGAATCGAGGCAAACAAAGGAACAGGCTGCCGATCCCTGGACGAGTGACAACGCAACGCAGTGCTCGCCGTCCACGATACACAATAAGAGGGGTCATAGTGTGGCAAACTGGAGGTGAGCACTGAGCACGTCTCGAGCAATGAAGGTTCAACAATGGGAACAAGAGAGTCTGTTGGCAAGTGAGGCCATGGAGAAGTCGGGCGTGACAAGGATGAATGCAGCCGTCTGCGTCCGAACACATAACGAGATGAGAGACGGGTTGATTGGGCACCAGAGAGATCTGCATTAGAACTGTGGGAGAGGAAGCTGTAGCAGTCAAAACTACAATAGGGGAAGCTCCACTTGTAGAAACAGCAGAGACAATTGCAGCATCGGATACTGTAGCAGTAGGAACAACAACAGTAGAAACTGCAGCAGCAGCAGCAGCAGATGAGCAAGCAGGGGCAAGAGGAGAGCTTCGTAAGCATAAAGAAGAAAGTGAATGATAGAGGGGCCATTGCAGCATGCGTTGAAACCACTGACAAAAAGTGGATGATAATGGCACCATCGCAGCATGCGTCAGAACCACATGTGTAGGATAGCGACCTTGGTCGGAGCGCATGTAGAAGGTCGAGGCCTTAGCAAGGGTTGATTGGGGATGCCCACAAGAAAACATGAGGGCAAGTAAGTGTTGTTGCCGCAGTTTGAAAGTCCTGCCAATTGTTACAGATTTGCCGAAATCTGGTCGACTGCCCGGTGAGCACACCAGCTGGTTGATGGGAAGGGATGTTGGAGGTTCATCTCCGATAACAAATGAAAGGGAAGTCTCAGGCATCCGCTTTATCAAAGGCACTCACGGGAAGCGAGCCATCAGAGCGGACCCGTATTTGCATACCTAGAAAGGTACAGGAGTCATCTGACGCTGTAGTTCCCTTCCGCGCAAGGCCGTAGTGATCTGGGGGAAGAGGTAATTGCCCCCATGAAAGAACATCATCAACGAGACAATGAGCAAAAGCATGTTGCTTAGTGGCTTGAAGATCATGCTGACGAATGATGTCAACAAGGCGCGCTTCTTCCCAACATAGCGTCGGATTACAAGTTTCTGGTCCACCATTAGTTCCCGTTGAAACACCAACAATTGGTTTGCAAAGTGTGCCATCTGTAGTGTACAAATGAGTGTTTTTTGTACAACAAAGCGAAGGTGTTGGAGAATCTGTGAAACAGAAAGTGTGTCCGGGACGGGGTTTTTCTCTCGTCAGCATTGCCGTGGTGTGTGCCTTTGGACTCCATACCATCCCAGCATACCATAGGATTGAGAATATGGATGCGTTCAAGATTACCGCCCTCCCCTATAGTGGATTGTGCATCGGCGACCAAGACCCCAATGTAGCCAGCATCTTGGTCAGTATTGCAGGGGCCATGGAGTGGTGTGGGCCTGTCTCTGTTATCTTTTGATCCCCAGCTATCTCAAGGGCTATGTTAGACCTATCCATTGCATTCCTTTTTTTTTTTCTTTTTTTTTTTTCATTCTGTTTTAAAAAAAAGCCCAGGTTGTTGTAGAGGCTGGATTACAGACATATGAGAGTCACCTTCGGCACTCGGCCATGTGGTAGAGGCCCCCTAATCATATGGGACTCCCTCCCAACCTACCTCTTTCATAATTTCTACCGGCGCACTCCTACTTGCACTATCTTACCTCAGTGTCTACCACTCAGGGTCGTCACCCTCCAGCCTGGGGGTGACCTGACCGAACCATGGTCGTAGGTACCAGGGCTAAGCTGAGTCCCACACACCCCACTCAGCCCTAATCGAAGCATATTTGAGCGAGACTTGTCGCCCAGGTACTTCAGGTGCTAGGTACAGACGTTTCACTACAAGTCCCATAGGTGGACCTATTTTGCGTTCCTATCGTTGTGTACACAGCTGTTGTTACTGTTGTTTGTTGTTAGGTTGTGGGCTTGAGGCTGTGGCCTTCGCCCTTCTTCCTCAGGGTCCGTCAACTACCAACCCCCCACCATCTTCGGCCAGTTAATCTACATATCAGATGCTGGCTGAAATGCTTACATTGCACTTGTCAAGGCTTCAAAAGAGGGGTCAGAGGCCCTGATCATCATTGTTAATATAGTTGTAGCCTTGTAGGGATGTAAATGTGCCTACCTTTAATGATCTGGTAGCATGGTCATCAGTCTTTGTACCGAGGGATCGTTTCGGAGAAAAGATGCCACTGCCTCGATTATGAACAGAAATATCGAGGCTGCCAATGGATCTCCTTGCCTAACCGATCTTGACATGCTGTACTTCTCCGATAAGTGGCCGTTGGTTGACCCTTACCTTTACCTGCCCAATGCCAGTGCCGCTTTTCAACGACCACTTATCCCTTCGGGACCACCCCTATCC